CAGTATACTATAATTTAAAGAATAATATTAATAGGAGTCTAATATTATCGAAAGACAATGGAAACAATTCTACCATGCTTTTTTAATACCTAACTGCTTTCATTATTGTAAAGCTACTTAAATTGTGTTGTAAGTGAAACAGATTGAACAATTAGTTTTTCAGAGTTGCAGATTGTTTATGATGTGTAACATTTTTCCACTCGTTTTCCTGTCATCCTTGTTGTGATGAATTAAGAATACGGAGTGTCACCACCCCTTTTCATCCCGTGGGTGTCGCAAGAGCCGACTTAGGGAGCAAACTACGCAGTACAAGAGCGCTGCAAAGAGAAGGAAAACTTGAAACAAACCCAGCCAGCGTGGTATAGTAGTTCAAACCCTCTTTTCTAAGGAGAGGCCTATGTTCAGCAGCGAACTGTCATCTGTAGTAGTTATTTTGTGGAAAGGGACGAAAATGTGTAACAGGAAGATGAGGAAGCGCGCTAGTGGTTTTGACCAATTATTATGCGGCTAGTGTGTAAGGCTCGCTCTTTTTTAAGTTGTTTAATTATTTTTCGCAAACTGACTTAGTACGAATTAAGGATGCAGTTATAAAAAAAACCAGCTTTTTTGATAAGGCCGTTGTATTCCGTACCGTTGAATTATAATTTTAATGAGTTTTCTTTGTTCACTTACAATCACATTTAATTTTTTTTTAATAAATAAAATAAGTCCTTGTGTATCTTCGGTATGCTAATTATTTCACTATGTACATTTCGTAATTTTCAAACCCGAAATATATTCCTAAACGTACTCGTTTCCCACATAACATTAAAAGTCGGTTTTGCATACCAGCTTGTCACGTAACACACACACTTGCTGTATTGCTCTGATTTGCATACCTTACACTCTCAAACGGCCATAGTTAAATACGACATTATTTAACAGTAATGTATGTAAATGTGTGAACGTGAGTCTCAGGAAATAGTTTATTAAATGTAGTTTACCTGACTTAGTTCAGTAATGTAATTGAAATACGTCTTACCGACTACAAACTACGCAGGATAACAGCACTGCAAAGAGAAAGAAAACGTGACACCAAAACAAACAAATACCAACCCGTTGGCCCAGCGTGGTATAGTAGACCAAAACATCCTTACTAAGGAAAGGCCTATGTCCAGCAGTGGACTCATAAAGGCTATTGATGATGATGTTGATGACGTTGTACATTCGGCGCTAGTATATTTCAACTTAAACCGCGTCGCCGCCCCGCCTGGCGTGGCCCCGCGTCGGTGAATTCCCTTGCAGTATCAATAATTGTATGTTGGTTACGAAAATAATATAGTTATATTTAGAAACAAACAAGTATGTTCGTTGGGAATCTGGTTACACAGACGTTGCTTAATTTGGGATCCAACTGCCGTGTGTGAGATGTTTCATCAAACGTTAATAATAATAAAATAATAATATCATTTATGCCCACGACATGCCCCCACTGCCAGGGGTCTGCGCGCATCTTTAGTTCACGCGGCCTCAAAATACATATTGCACGAATACATGGACACCAACCACGCACGAGCCCTACGGACGTGCAACAGGACACGTCTTCTAGTGATGTCGGCCAACGGCCGCGCCCGGGGGTGGTGCCCCAACATCGGTGCCCTCTGGAAAGGCTAGCCACTTGCAAAAGTAGCATTCCGGTGATGCGGCACATTCCTAAGGCTGCACGTAACCTGGCCGCGGCCAAATTAAGCAGCATAATAGATGGATGCGTGGACGGTAATGGTGTAGATTACTGGTTCGCGCTTCTTTCTTTTGCCTTTAGCGCATTGAGGGTGCCGTCTAAGTCTCTGCCGGGTAATATGACGTCTAAGGTAAAGGCGAATATCAACTCCTCGGGCTTTTACCAGTTTGAAGATGAGTGTGACGGCGCGCCAACGAATCGCAGGTCGTGTTCAATACAAAAAACTATTGAAAATAAGGTATTTGAGGGAGACCTAAGGGGAGCCGTCCGCCTGTTGATGTCGAACGACAAATTTGCTCAGGGGGGTTCTGAGACCCTGGCTGCCTTGAAGCTTAAGCACGCCGGACCGTCGCGCCCACTCAACACCCCGCCAGCGCCGGATGCGTCATGCGCATTCGTTACCGCTACACCAGAGGATGTAGCTCAGGCGCTAAACTCTTTTTATAGTGGTTCTGCGGCGGGTTTGGACGGCATTCGTCCGGGGCACCTAAAGGAACTCACTTCTAGGGCGGCGGGCGAAAACGGGCAACGTTTAATGGGTAGTCTGGCCAAGCTGTGTAACTTCTTACTTAGCGGTCAGTTAAACCCTGAAGTGTGTCCTTTTATGTATGGGGCTTCGCTTTGTGCCTTAAATAAGAAGGATAGAGGACTCAGGCCGATAGCTGTCGGCAGCGTTTTCCGCCGTTTGACTGCTAAGCTGGCCTGTTGTTCAGTCAGGGAGGAAATGGCCGAGTATCTACAACCGCACCAGTTAGGCTTTTGCACGCGTCGAGGTTGCGAGGCGGCTATCCATGCCACACGGACATACGTGATGGACCCTAAAAACTCGTTGCGTCGTGTTGAAGCTTGATATCCGCAACGCTTTTAATACCTTGGAAAGGGATGTTCTGTTAAGCGCAGTTAAGGATGAAATTCCTTCCCTCTATCCTTTCCTTCACCAAGTCTATAAATCTCCTTCGAACCTCTTTTACAATAAGGATCTTATTCTTTCGCAAGTGGGAGCTCAGCAGGGAGATCCACTTGGGCCACTCGTCTTTAGCCTTGCCATCCACAAAATCATTTCCAAGCTGGAGTCACCCCTAAACCTGTGGTACCTAGATGACGGTACTATTGGCGGACAGCCTGAGGTGGTGGCGAAAGACGTTACGGTTTTGATCCCACGCCTCAAGGAGCTAGGTTTGGAGGTGAATCCAGCAAAGTGCGAGTTTTTCCCCTGCAGTACTGAAGCTCGCACACACTTTACACACTTTGAAATGTTCTTTCCTGGCCTCAGCGAGATCACACCAGGTACCTTCAGCCTATTGGGCTCTCCCATTTTCCTTGAGGCAGTCCCTGAGGCCATTGCTGCCCGTCAAAATCTTCTCCTTGCCACTCGTGAACGTTTAAAGCATCTTTCTCCTCATGTTGCGGTTCTGCTGCTTCGTATGTGTTTCGCGGTTCCTAAAATCACGTACTTATTGCGGACTACTCCAACCTGGCTTTGTCCGGAGGCTGTCTCTTTGTTCGACGGTGCTTTAAGAGATACTGCTGAGTCGATCCTTAACGTCTCCCTTGATGAGCACCAGTGGATCCAGGCAGCTCTGCCAATAAGATATGGGGGTCTCGGATTACGGCGTGTGCTGGATGTTGGCTTGCCAGCCTTCCTATGTCGGCGCATGGGGTTGCGGACCTTGTCGCTGTCACACTTTCTCCAAATGGTGATAGGGCGAGCATACCTTATGTGTTCGAGGCGGTATCGGCATGGTCAGCCGTCAACGCAGGTGAGCCATTTCCAGTGACCCTACACGTCCAGCGAGCATGGGATGACATTGGAGCTAAGGGACTCCTTAAACAAATGTTGGATACCGCTGGGGTAAAGATCTGGCAAGACTGAGGGCCGTATCGCAGCCAGAGTCAGGGGCATGGTTACATGCACTCCCATCGCCTCACTTGGGTACCTTGCTGGACGGCGACTCTTTGCGTGTGGCAGTGGCTCTCCGCCTGGGCTGCAGGGTGTGCAAACCACATAGATGCACCTGCGGTTCCATGGTGGGGGCCGATGGTCTTCACGCACTGAGTTGTCGTCGCTGCGCAGGTAGATTTTCGCGACACCATGCCCTAAATGACATAGTCCGAAGGGCTCTTATATCCGCCAATGTACCCTGCGTGCTGGAGCCATCGGGTCTTGGCAGATCTGACGGGAAGCGGCCGGATGGCTTGACTTTGGTGCCGTGGAAAAACGGCAAGTGCTTGGTAATGGACGCCACATGCGTTAGCACAGTCGCGGCCTCACATCTGAGTCGCACCGTCCAAGCCCCGGCGGCGGCGGCGGCGGCGGAGGATGCCGCTAGTAGGAAGCGATAAAAATACGCCGCAATGGAGACGCACTATTATTTTGTGGAGTACTATTGCGGTGGAGACTTTGGGCAGTTGGGGGTCAGAAGCTAAAAAGTTAATTGCGGAGATTGGTCGCCGAGTTAGGGAAAAAAGTGGTGACTCCCGCTCCGGCTCGTTTCTGGTGCAAAGAATGTCCGTTGCAATTCAGCGAGGCAATGCTGCCAGTATCATGGGCACCTTTGCACCGGGAGCGACGCGGGGCAGGTTATATGATCTGACTTAAAAAAAAAAAAAAAAAAATATATAATTGTAACTTAAATGTATGTATTTTTGTCTTGAATGTCTATTATAACTATATAAAATAATAAAAATATCATTTATTACCAAAAAGAAAAGTACAAAATATGTGGTACATTTCCGGTGGCCCCACACTAGGCAAGCCTGTCCTGTCTTTATCCCATACTGTATGTCTACAATGAGTAAGCCGTCTATGGCCGCCTTAACAACTCTATGCCAAGCAAATATGGCCATTTAGGGATTCACCACGTGAATGAGTTAATCTATAGGCTCGCTGATATGCATACCTTTATGTAATGACATAAATAAGTATTTAGTATGCGGTATAAGTAGACATGCTAAGTAAACATTGTAAGGTTCGACACGTGAGCCCGTTTTAATGAATTCCCATGTAATTCGAAACTTTTTAGTATTCGTCATAAGAAAAAAAAGTATGCTTTTCACACAAATTATGCAAAATGATAAATAATTCATTGCGAAAATAATATTATTTAGTTATATACTTAAAGTATTTTGAACTCTATAGTAAGAAATTAACATCTACGTAAATGAGACAAATCCTCAAGATTTTAGATGAAAAAGAACCAGTTATACATAACAGTCAACCAGTCGTAAATACCTTTTTCATTTTTATTGTTAGTTTCATATCGTGTCTCTTTGTCAACAGGTTTTCCATCTGCGTGATATCCGTTGGGAGAGGCCGCGGTTCCTGTCGAAGTCTTTCCTCGCCTTTGTAACATTCAACGTGATCAGTTACTCGCTGTTAGCTGCCGAAGTACTAACTACGAACGTTGCCGACACTGATCCCGTAAAGAAGGTAAAAATACACTAACATAAATTGAATATATTTAGTTACAACGTAACACAATACTTGACATGGTAACCTGACATTGAGTTAATGGTTTTTAAATTTATGTAGTAAAAATGTTAAGTATATTTGTTCTGATCTTTGTCTTAGAACATTTCTTTGAATGTCTTACATACTATTCCCAGTAAAATATATATTAGGTTTAATTGGGGATACAGAATCTTCACTTAAAGATTACTATATTACTCATATAATAAAGACGATTTTCCTTGTAGTGACGGATTAAAAATACGGAGTATTACCCCACCTGTTCATCCCGTGGGTCATAAGAGTCGACTAAGGGAGAAAACTACGCCGGACAACAGCACTGCTAAGAGAAGGAAAACTGTAACATTATTATACCAACCCATTTCTTAATTCAGTCTCATCTTTACCTGTCCCAAAAATACACCTGCCACACACAGCTTTGCATCACCCAAAGGTTTGACTGGAAGAAAATGCCTGATTCATCAAGTCCACCTCAATAAGTAAGAAAACTACGCAGGACAACAGCACTGTACAAAAGAGAAAAATTAAAACAAACACTATACCAATCCTGGTCTGGCCAGCGTGGTATAGTAGGCCAAAATCTCCTTTTTAAGGAGAGGCCTATGTCCAGTAGGGGACTATTAAAGGCTGTTGATGATGATGATGATGATGATGATGAATACAGACGATAAGATGCAAAAAAAGATCTCCTGAAAGTAGTTGTATGTACGTACATACACAACCAAATTGTAATAAATATAATTGGCCCTACTGACCTTTTTTTTTTTTTTTTTTTTTTTTTTCCGTGCGGAAATCCCCTCGGATACCACCTATCGGTGGCATGTCGGACTCGAACCGACTAAAACCGCACGCCTTCGCCGGGTACTAATAGCCGGGGAACCAGGTATACCCTAGAAAGGAAGGCCCTGGTGCCCCGACATACCTCGGGTCATCTACAGACGAGTAGACGACCCCCGCCCCGTGTGGGAACCCCATGTTCCCTGTGCTCCCTGGAAGCGAGCGCGCTTCGCAACGCGCTCGCCGCCACCCCGGCCTGCTTCTGCTAGGGTGACAGATGGCCTCACCTGTCACCCCCAGGCCTGCGCTTATGGAGGACGGAGGTCGTTCTGCGACCTCCGGCGCCTGAGTCGCCTGCGCTGCCTGGCCCGTGCCCGGGCCTGGCGGGCCGGGAGAGTTCTAAACCTCTCCCGGTCCCGCTCCGCCATCTCCTTCGCGAGCATAACTTGCTCGCAGAAGGAGACGGCAGAGTTCCACGCACTCTCGCTCCGCACGATAGCCGCAATCAGGCTATCGAGCGAGAGAACTCCCACTCCGATGGCCGCCACGAGGTCTCGCCTCTGCTCAACCCACGCCGGGCACTCTGCCAGCGTGTGGAGAGCCGTGTCCACGGTCTGGCCATCGCAGTGGTGGCACTCAGGCGTTGGCTCCTTGCGGATCAGACACAGGTGATCTCCGAAACATCCCTTCCCAGTGATCACCTGCGTCAATCGGTATGAGAGGGTCCTGTGACGCCTCTCGAGCCAATCCTCCATAACGGGTCTTACCGCCGCAATGACGGCGTGCCCAGTGGCCCTACTGACCTAAAGAGAGCTAGCCCATTGCCTTAACCAGGCACTTTAGGAAAATTAAGGGTAGCGTATATTAAAAAAGAACCGCGGGTAAAAAGGAAAGACAATGGTGGGAAAAGTCTATTGCTTACTAAAATATTAATACTCTAACAGATATTGTTGAATGTTTTATTTAATATTTATAAATTTTGTTTCAGAGTTTCTATCAGCACATATTCAACGGCTGCTACGCTGTCTTGCTTTTCATCGTGGTCATATTTTTCCTGATTTATGGAGTCGAGGTCTACTTCAAGGTTTGTTGCTTAACCTAACCCTTTAGTCAGTTTTAACCTTTCCTAATAATATGTAGAATATTTACCTAATTCATGACATTAATTACTCTATGCTATAGAAGCCATCATGTTTGTACATTCATGTTACTAAAGATGACATACATGTTACCTTCTTGGATTTTGGATATCGGATAAATTTGCTTGCCTTGAGCACCTAAAGCTTTACAGAGAACGTTTGCCTAACTCGTGTTGTTAATGTCTTTATCCTATTGAAATTAGTAATCATAGAACGGACATAGGGGTATCTGAGCCTAACTGTAGCTACTGTGTAATTTCAGTTCTGATTTCCCAATTGGCCTCCCGGGTATCCATTACCTTAGCTCCCTCGCCATATCTGTATTTCTTAAGCGCTAAAATTTAGTTTCGTCATTTGTCTCATCTAAAAATGAGTTTGAGTTTCCAATGAGGCTTTGCGCCAAAAAACCGTCCGCCCTCAAAATAAACTAGGCAAAACTTATTATATTAGCTTATCCATACATTGCGTCGATCCAAGGTCGATCCAACGAAAAAGTAGAAAGGGAACAATGGCAGGATCGGTGATGAATAAAACTTTGTTAACTTTGTTTTTTTTTTAACTTTGTAACATGTATGTAAATTTGAATTACATTTACTAACAAGAAGTACCAGTTACTTGTTGTTACACAAAGAAGCTTAAACAGTAGCAAGATACCTTTTTTTTCTGTGCGGAAATCCCCTCGGATACCACCTACCGGTGGCTGTGTCGGATTCGAACCAACTAAAAACCGCACGCCGTTTCGGGTACCAGTAGCCGGGGAACCAGGTGTACCCTAGACAGGAAATCCCTGGTACCCCGACGTACCTCGGGGCATCTACGCTGGGTAGATGACCCCCTCCTGCGTGTGAACCCAAAAGGGCACGCGCGGTCCGCAGAGCGTCTCGACGCCACCCCTGCCTGCTTCTGCTAGGGTTACAGATGGCCTCACCTGTCACCCCCAGGCCAGTATCAAGATACCTAAATGTAACTAATAAAGAGTTATAATAGCTTCAGTAAAACAAACAGCTTCGTATATGGGGTGTTAGTCGCACGACTATTCAGCACACAATAGGACAAGCTCACGAACTTGTTCACAATATCGCTACTTGCAAGGCCTTCAGTGAGCCACATACATAACTAACTTCTTTTATCTAGACTGTTTTAGATGCACCAATGTCAGTTGGTTAAAGAAAAACAAAGTATAGATGAGCTGATTGAGCCTGTCGGTTTAGTGGTTGGCGACACTGACTGCTAAGCTGGGTGCGATTCCCACCCAGAACTAATGATTGTATTATGAGCACGATTATTTCGTCATGATCGTAAAATAATGTGGGTTTTGAAAAAAAAATACGAAATTCAATTTTTATCATATTTGGATACAAAATTATATGTAGTTTAGATTTTAAATTATTCAGTATTTGTTTGATAGGCGCTCAAAGTAAAATGAAGCATGTGATTTTTCTAGGAAATTGTATAATTAGTAGTTGTTTTTTTATTGCATTTTAAACCAAACCCACTCACTCACACTCACACTCACTTGTATATTTTTATTTTCATAATTACATAGGTATATGCAATTAAAAAGTTATGTCAAAAAATGACATAATTAATCGACACTATTCTACGATTACGACGATTTGTTCTGTGTCTGGGTGTAAACATCTACAATGTGTATGTATTTACAGCCCGACGGGTTGGTATAGGGTCTGTTTCAAGTTTTCTTCTCTTTGCAGTGCTGTTGTCCTGCGTAGTTTGTACCCTTAGTCTACTCACACCTACAGGATGAAGACACTCCGTATTTTCAACCCGTCACCTAAACGATTACACCACACGGATTCGTTATATCCACAAAATTAATGATTGTTTTGATTATCCATAGACTGCTCTCATGGATCTGTAAGTTTACGTTCTCATGACGATGATACATGCATTGTTGGACGTGGTTTGTTATTGACACGACTGCTAAGAGGGTATTGTTCTCAAAGCTATTACCGATGTTACTGCTACCTAGAATCGTTGCAGCCTCAATTTATCTGATAGTTCATTATGTCCGAGACAATATTGATTTAAATATGTGTAAGTTTTATTAACAGTACAGGTATTTATTGTCAATTTGAACTATTTAATACAACTTTACCTCTTCTAAAAGTGGCATTTATCATATTAGTATACCTATTGATGGTTAGGACCTCCACAAGGTGTTCCGATGACTTGGTGAAGGTCGCGGGAAGCGGTTGGATGCGGACAGCACAGGGCCGGTTGATGTAACTAACCTGGAGGCCTGTGGCCAGCAGTCTTTCGGCTGATATGATGATGATACCAACATGTGTGATTATTCATACTTATATTGTAAATGTGAAAGTGAGTTTGTTTGTTATTTTAGAATTTTTATAAAAAAAAAGGATTTCGACGAATTGAGAACCTCCTCCTTTTTTGAAGTCGGTTAAAAATCGGTTTAGTGGTTTAGGTGTGAAAGCAAGCCTAAACTACTAAACCGAATTTAAAAAAATGTTTACCAATGGAAAGCTATGTTATCAGCGTGTCACATAGGCCATTGTTTGCCCCGATAATCGATATACACGCAGGCGGGCCGCGGGCAACAGCTAGTATAAATATAAATAAACAATGTATTATAAAACAACAACCTTGTGTTAACGATAATTGACAAATCACACAGCGTACTCCTTCCTAGGCCGGCAACGCGTTTGTGACTCCTGAGTTGCACGAGTTGAACGAGTTGCAGACGTTCATGGGCGGCGATAGTCACTTTCCATCAGGTGACACGTCTGCTCGTCTGTTCCCTCTAATATAACAAAAAAAAAATACAAGGTCTACTTGGAATTCCTACTTGTTGCAGATAGTTTTAATGAATAATATGAACGGTACAATAGAAATCTAGACTAGCTAGATAGTGTCTAGATTTCTATTGTACAGCAATACCCAAAACGTGCTTTGAAATCTTGATTTCTAGATTCTTATTTTTTTTATGTTTTTGTGTAATTGAAAAACAAACAATTAATATTTTAATCAATTTTACCAAAAAAGAAGTTTCATTTAACTATAAATTTAGTACATTAAGATTATTTAAGATTAAATATCTTAAAAATGGGTATTATTATCTTTCCAAATAGTACGATTTATTCACGTGAGTAATACACATCTAAATATATTATGTTAAATTAAAACATTTAGTTTTTATACTACACTAATTATTATTTATGGTCGTTTCAATGCAAGTTGCTTAAAAATGTTCTAAAGTAACGTACAATAAATCAAACAATAATGAGAAGAATAATTACGCACTTAACTCTCAAAAATCTTATTTTAATCCGACGACATTAAATAAATCTCAATGTAATTTACCAAATGTAATGCTTTCTCTCTTGTCCACAGCTTCGCGGTGAGTTCCTGAAAGAGACGAAGGTATGCACTATAATATCGCCCCGACCGGGGCCCTCTACCGCAGCCGACGGCGATGACGTACAAGACACACTTGTCACTAAACAGGTAACGATAATCTTCACATTGCAAAGTGTGGCCGTGGCATTGTTTGACCGATTTCTTTTTACAAGGCTCCAAATAGAGAACGTGCAGTTATAGAATTTTTTACAATATTTGTTATTTATTGTCCGTTACGGAAGACAGCCAAATTTTTTTTTTTATTTGTAATAATTAGGCTTTATAGCTTAATTATTACAAATAAAAAAAATTTTTTGGCTGTCTGTCTAAATTTTCTTGCCTTGAATTTAGTAGTTTTAGCTTATAATTATATTTTATTAATTATAATTAGTTGTGTCAAGACCATGAGCTGAAAAAACGATTAGAAAATAACAACCAAAATATTTTCTTGAATTAAAGCTTAAAACACTCGATATAATCTTCTTATTCAATTAATATTGGTATTGGTTATCTCTTTACGAGCTTTGATGCCCCGTACAGATACACAGAGGCACATAAAAAGTGTGTACAAGCAAAACTGTTCATTACCTATTTTCTGCTGTTTTTTAACCAATTTCTCTCGTAGCTATCGAGTTTTATTGATAGAAAAAAAAATATGAAAATTAGTTTCATTTTTAATAATCTAATTAATTATGATGAATTCAGGACCAGTAGACTACTATTTTTTAGTCTGTGCTTAAGTTATTTTTACACCTTCATCAAAGTAAACCAACCAAAAATTTACACATTCAGATTTTATATTAACTATTGCCAGTAGCTCCACTTTTGTACGATTAATTTTTACATTCCTCGGAAACAGTGTTTTTAATTCTATATAAAAGATACCTATGTCCATATCTGTATGCCAAAAATACAAAATGTCATGATAATGAGATGAACGGTACGGCAACGGTGAAAATACGAACAAACACACATTGTTTTTCTATTGTAAACCTCATTAAATCCATACTTTTTTATTATAATAAATGTGAAAGTGACCTTGTTTTTTGTTTGTTACGCTTTCACGCCTAAACCACTAAACCGATTTAAAAAATTCTTTCACCAATAAGAAGCTACATTATCAGCGAGTAACATAGGCTAATTTTTACTTTGTTAACCGATATACACGGACGTGTATGGACGGTGGAACCTCAGGCAAAATCTAGTATCTAAGTTTCTTTGAAAATTACCACAAAGTATTTAATATTTAGGTTACTTTCAATTACACGTCCAAAGTACTGTTAGTGCGGTTTGAAAATAGACTTAGTTGGTTGAATTATTGCATTTTTACTTAATAAGGTGTACTATAGTTAAACCGCCGTAAGCTTGGCCCTCCTAATGGTTTGCGGGACGCGGGGCGGGTGATGCGCTCGGCTATACACGACACGATGTACTAACTCGATATCTTCAGACTTATTTGTTTGAGATTTAATCTACACACAATGTAATAAAAATCGAATTTATTTCCATGTATTATAATGTCAGTGTATTGTAAGTTTTTATGATTAATTGTTAAATTTAATACTTGTTAAATAATTTTAATAAAATCACCTTATCTTCATCATGTATATTATATTCAGATACAATTTAAAAATTAAGTAAAATAATAAATATTCTTTATTAGAACTTTAACAGTAGAACCTCTGTAAGCCGAATTTCAAGTTTTTAAATCTTTTTGTGACGCAGAGTCGGCAGATTATCCATGTTGCAAAATAATACCGTGTGTAGCAGTCTTAAGAAAAAGTAACACGTACAGCCGTGCTTTCACGTCAGTCACTGCCGGCGGACAGCGACGCACTAGCTAATTGGTTGAATGCACCCCCGCCCCGCGTCCCCCAAACCATCAGGAGGGCCAAGCTTACGGCGGTTTAACTATAGTTCTCTTAAACTGGTATTATGGAAACGAGCAGACCGCACCTGATAATAGACCTCCTCCTCCAGAAATTGGGCAAGGAGGGGTTTTTAAAAGCCAACTCATTTATGCCAAAGTATGATTACCACGTCCCACTATTTATACTTTCAATACTGAAATTCTCCTGGCATGTCATGTCAGGATTTTAGACACAGGTTAGGCCAGAATTGGAACACCCATAAGTACTTACTTGAAGAACCGACAGCGAAATCACTTCCATTTCAAAAATGTATATTAACAAAAATACAATCGCCCCATAGGTTGCTTTGTCAAACAGATAATGCCGTATGTCTGTGTCGGTCTTAATCGCTTATTTCTAAACGATGAAAGAAATAAAAACATAAAAGATTGATGCTAAGAAAGGACGAGGCCAAATAATACAACAAGTAAACATTAATATAAATTGAATATATAAGTCATTCGAATCAATCACAACATGCCTGAATTGCGTAACACTACGCAGAATGTTGATTAGTTCATTTAAATGTATAATTGAAATGCCTTGCAGCCAGGTAACGGATGCTGTTAAGGATGAACATAGTAGATTTTTACTTTTTTTTTGTCTTGGAAGATATTATAACAAGGGAGTTTAGTAGGGGGGCAAATCTCAGATAGCGTAGATAACATGAGCTTTAGCAGATTAATATGTGCGTGTGTTCGCGTAAGTGTATGTGTGTGGGTGTGTGTCATTAAAAAAATAATTGTAAATAAAGGACAAAACGTACTGAACTATTTAACTATTTATGTTTTTTTAGTTTATATGTATTTGAAGCCATATGTGGTTAGTTGAAGCCCCTAATTGGAAATGTCGATCTAGATAGTAACTCGCAGTTGAGCTTGACCTAGCAAAAGGGAATTAATTATTCAATACTTTGTATCGTGTTATAGTTTACCCAAACTACTTTTATGTATACCTTATATAGATATACATAAAAGTAGTCTGGGTAAACTGGGTACAAAGAGAATAATTAACTTAATAAGTTTATACACGACAGTCTAATTCGAAACTAGGCAGAGCCTGTACTATGGTAACCAGACTGTTGATAAACACACTTAAATATATTCCTACACACATACATATATTATAGACTAGCTGGTAACCGCGACTTCGTTTGCGTGTAATTTAAAAAGCGCTGCCTTAGTGGGTTCGATGCCCGGACCGGGCTAAATTTTGAAGGGCTTTTCTGAGAGGAAAAATGGCTTAAGTTATTCCTTATGTAGACAGCTATCTGGTATTAAAATATTATCGAAATTGGTCCAGCCGTTTGGATTACCCGGAACAAACAGACAGACAGACAGACAGACAATTCAAACAATTGAATTTATACTGTTTTTTAGGCATAGGTATCGTGCAAATAACCGTGTGAGCATGAAAAAAACCTATAATTTTGACATTACAAACAGACATTATTTATTTGTTTGGATAAATTACACTAAGACACAAAAGAAAACGATCGGGCTCATTACAATATTATTTGTCATGGGTGGAAATTGAACCAAGGACCTCTGGATCACTATCCACAAGACCAACAGACCCGTTATTTCATTTCCTAATTAAGTGTCCACTTTCAGGGTGTTCTCACAGATCTCGCCGAGAGGGACGGCACGGTAGACCCTCGCTCCGTAAACCATTCCCAACTGCACCAGTCACGTGTCGGACTCATCAGTCAGGCGCTTATGCTGATCCTCATTGCTGGATTCCTTGCGTCCGAAACCCTTAGTGAATTCTGGAAGACCAAGTGAGTAGATAGTCCTAAATCTGTTTATATGGGTCAAACGAGCATACGGGTTACCTGATGGTAAGTGACTACCGCGCGCCCATGGGCACCTGCATCTCAAGACTCCACACCCATCCAAAATCAGAGGGAACGGTGGGTCTCCAGCAACCTCATTTACTCGGTGAAAAGAAACAAAAAAATTATTAACAGTGGTATTCCGTGAGGCCGTGGTATCGCCTGGGTGGAGCCACCCCGTTTGTGCTGAAGCTTAGCTCTCCCACGAGAAGTTAAGGCACGGCTGTATTTTGTGGGTAAAAAAATCATAAATATCTGAACAGCATACAGACCAAACCTTTCAAAAAATTTTTTAGATAAAATCTTGATAGTAAGCATTTGATTGTCTGTTGTCCAAGGGTACCGGTGGTGTCCCGCAACTGGCACGATCTAGTGTTCCGTTTGGCCGAGATCGGCGTAGCGCTATGGTTCCCGTGCGTGCTGTGGAACTCCATGGCGCCCGAAAGACTGTGGCTCCTCAACCCTCGGCGCCTGCTCGCCAAGCAGCTAGACGATTCACGTCTTGCGGACCTGCTAGCGCATCATCATGACACCAAGGTAAGCCAACAATTGCTTTAATATTCGTATTTGTATTTATTTTATAATATTGTATTATTTTATACACGTGTATTTCGGGTATACCCCATGTTCTACGCCGTTGCTGTAAAACTTTACACATTTCACGTCAGATCTAATATCATTCAGATATGATATTGTCTCTTGTAATTTTGCTATTTACTTTGGCATGTTGAAAGTTGTCTAATTTTTCTGTGAGAAATTAAATGAAATAAATTGTAGAATATTTGGTATTGGAAAAAAATTGATAAGTATTTCTATCCGAGATATAGAACCCCAGAACAGCCTTTGCTAAGTTCGGGCTTCCAGAGCGCTGTGTAGTATGTCCCAGAATATTTTTATCCTTGTATTACTTAGGGCAATACCCATAATAGTTAATGATAGCAATGTTGACACTTTATGCTCGATATCTCTGTGTCTTCGACATGGGTAAAGGCAGTAGCTTGCCCTCCCTTTTATATTAACAAAAATGTTTTTAATATTTGTGTAAATGTTTTCAAATATTTTTAGGTAAAGACAAATTTAAATGTTTTGTAGGGTACTTTGAGATTTGGCTAAAAATCAAACTTCTTTCTCTATACAGTGACAAAATCTAATTAAACCATGTATAAGCTTGCTTAAGGTAAAGAAGGAAAATGTTTTATAAACATGCTCAAAATCTCAACCAACATGATTATATGACATTCGTCTGTTGTCATAGACAAAGATAGCGGAAGTTTTGCGTCTGTTGTTTAAAAATATGTATGTTATTTCATAATGTTTGCGTGCAACCTTATCCGCTAATTAACGAAAACGAAATCAATTTTTTGAAACATTCGATGTTTATAACATTTAAATATTATAAACAGCGACCGATCAATCACACACAATAACATTTTTTTTTTACTAAATCAGCAGATAATTAGATAATGGTAGCATTGAAATAACATTTTTAAAAAATGACAATACTTAGGTCCACTTAACTTTAAACCACAGATAAAGTATATAAAGTTGTCTTATTTGTGGTTCGATAAAAGAACAATAGACAACAAAGATAATGTTTTATTGTAGAAACGAACAAGAAATGACATATTGTAAATATTTAGATGATTAACAATTTATTACTAAAGGAACAAATAAACTTTCACTGTGAAGGCTATCTGTAAAGATAAACTGTGAACTGGGCAAATGTGTCGGTCACTAACATGACTATACATTATATTTTCTGTGATAAGATATGACAGCTTTACAACTTGCACGCGCCTATGCGAACTATTAAAATAAAACAGTTACCAGTTCTATGGCTTACTGACGAGAAACGGCGGATTATGTCAAAAAAAGCTACACCTAAAAATAAGTACAAACGATAGAAATTATGAAAAATACTGAATATACTGCAATAAGATGTTTAAGTATTTTTTGTTATTCCGTGGAAATAAATCGACACCGTATCGCGTTTAATTTGCATCACAGTTTTTTTCGCTTGATTTATTTGCCGCCGTCATAGGATTTTGCGAAAAAAAAAACGTGCGGTGAAATATTGCTGTGCGGACGGGCTCTTACAGATTTCTTCTTCTTTCTTTAATCTTCTTCCCTTGGCGTTTGTATTTTTCTTCAAATTTAAATGGCCTCAAACTCTCATGGTTTAAAAATACCGTAATTCTGTAACAAACATTAAAAAAAAACAACCGAATTATTATATACTCCATATTTGTTTATACCTATACCGTTAAAATTAACAGAGAATATGCTACATAGATTGCTGTTAGGGTTTTGAGTTATTTTCAATACCAAACATGTATTCTTGGTATTATAAATTGTCTTGGTTTGTATAAAATCCTTTTTAAGAAGATATATATTTTTATTTGCTTTTGTCGTTGGAAATGGGTATTTTTGTCGTGTTAGTAACGTCGTTTTTAAACAAACTACAAAAACATTTGTTATTCATTGTCTGTCGTAAACTTAAGCAATGGATTGCATAGTCTTAAAGCTTACAATGCTGCACTGCTTTGCACACACCCCAACAGGTCACCAAAATGTATTTCAGAGACGTTTTAGCCACATCAATGTATCATCAGAAACGGCTTTGCTAAGTATGTATCAGCATCGTATTTTCATTGGGATATTAATAGGACGATATTCTCAGAGCGTAATCCGGTTCTGCTGGCGGGGTTGCAATGAGATGAAGCGTTACTTGTACCTCTACTGGAAGTGGTTGATAGTCAGGGTCGTATATAGTGTTGTGGTGCGGCCGCCGGCAATCAGAGAAGTTTGTCAAAATTCTGTAGAGAGCTGCTTGGATAGAAAGGTAAGTTGGTATAGGGTGTCTGTATAAGATTGTGATTGTGTATAAGAATATGGAACACTTTTATAATATAGGATAACGGTTTATTTATAAATTATTATTAATTTTTTTTTTTTATTCCTACGTCTACGTAGCTGACAAAAAGAAAACCTTAATTAAGTAAGAGAATTAAGTAAGATATTTGCAGAATAACATGATTGATTAATACGAGATTCCCTACTTTATTTTTTAAGATTTTATGCAAAAATTCTTTTTGTTGCCATAAATTAATTACCTACTTTATTATTAGTACGACACTAATTTAGCCTATAAAAATATATAAACTAGTATTTTTCATTTATGAAACCATTCAAATCAGAATGTCGAGACCGACTCACTGGTCAGTAGCGTTGGGTCTACTCGAGACTGCTGGATATGTTACGACAGCGCACGGCCTGAGCCGCTCATCCATCCATGTCGCTGCACAGGAGACGTTTCTGCCGTACATCACGACTGTCTCAGTCGCTGGCTTGTTGAGGTAAATATGAAGACTATTTGCTATTATGTAAGGAGACAGTTTAAATTATAATTTAGTAGTTTCCAGACTTTATATTATTAAATTTCTGTTTCATTTTCCAGAGCGCACAGAGTCCTAATGGCTTAAAATGTCATGTCTGCAACACTCCTTACATCGTTCAAGAGACCAATAGGTTAGTAATCATGTTATTTTTGTCATTGTATTGATAAAAACCATTTTGGGAATAAATATATATTTATATTTTCATATTAAACCTATGCAGTATGGAGTTATGAATTGAGTCATTTGCGGTAAGTTATTTCATAGAGTCGGAACCTAAGTAGAAAAACGAGAGAAGCTTAAAATGACTGAAACCGATTCAATGACCGAAATGACTTTAAATTTAAAAAAACATTTTTTTTATATCATCACAATTTCGCTTGCATCGCAATGTCATATTTTAGTGTTTCATAAATTATCGTAATTACTATTACATTCCTCTGACACGATATACATATATGTATAATCTTAGTACAGGCTCGGTAGTTACTATGTAGTTCGACTCGTCATGGTTAGATGGCGCTGTGTCATGTTAAGTTGTGCAAAGTGTGTTTATCGTCGGCAGAGTGGTGTGGGAGCGCGGGTTCACGTGCTCGCACTGGCTGCGCACGGCGCTGGCGGTGGCGTGCATGTGCGGGGCGGCGGCGGCGGCCTGGGTGTGCGTGCAGCTCGCCGCCTCGCCCGTCGCGCGCGTGCTCGGCGCCGGAGCCGCGCTGCTCATCTGCTACGTAGCCATCAGGTACACATCTCTTACCAAACATTACGATGTACCCTCATTTATTCCAAAATATCTTTGTACACAACGCTGGGTCTGTGATCTTTTTTATTTAATTAGTTTTACTACGACTCTGAAAATCATGATTTATCCTTAAATAATAATAATATTAACTATCGAGTAGTCTCGATCGTTTTCAATTTACTTGACGTATCTACAAATAAGTGAAGAGAGTTTTTTTACACTTGTCTTTAAGTAAAAAATAAATGCATGACGTGAAATTCAGTTTGTAAATACAAAATAAAGTTAGGATTATTTTAATATTTAAAAAAATGCCTGAAAACACTTACATTACGCTACCAGTATATACATTATGTAGACCTGTCTGGATTTAAAAGTCTGATATTGATAATACAATTTATACTAGAATTCTAATTAAAGTCGAATTTCGAATCTCTAATTTACATATAAGCACCATCTATCTTTGTATCATTCAGTAACTGTGGCTGACAATTTTTTTTTACTAAACTGTTTTCTTATCAATTTATTGTGAGTATCCTTTCAGTGATAAAATAATAAACTTGATAAATTATAATTACAGATTTTTGGGCATGAACACAGTGAGTGCCTATCAGCGTGCCAAAGTTTCCTCTCTTCGCATTTTGACCGAACCGTTGACGGAAATAACCGGTCAAACCGATCAGGGCCAGCTATCGACTATCAGCAAGACTGTCACTGTCGAAATAGCATCCAAGGCTGTCCTCGAACGAGCCCTCAAAGGTGATGTGAATAAGTAACTGTTATACCGTTACACGTACCGGCAGAACGTTACGAAAGCGGTTAATAACGTTATAACCGTTTACAAAAGATAATAACGGTAATTACGTTACGCAATCCCAGTACAAACAACAGTGATCAGTGATGTGACATTGTGCTACGTATTTAACTTATTTTTAAAACGGAAGTGTTGTGCTTAGTCATGTAGATAAAGTTCAACAAATTAAATTGAACTTTCGATTTGAACATTTTCCCATATGAAACAATAATAGGAACGAAACTAAGTGTTGTATTGAAACTTTCAAATTGACTGCTTCTCATATACGTAGTCGTGATGATTTATAAATTATTATTTTTTTCATTACAACGTAATTAATATTTACTATTTTATAGTATGGAATTAAATACTGCAAAGTATGACATTAACTATTAAGTTAATAATGCTATATTAAATAAAATAATGAAAGAATTACAGTCAAAATATTATGTTACCAAGGGCTTGAGCGTTGCAAAGAGAGAAAAAAAAGTGCTAATGGCAGTAATTTGCTAAAACTAGAATTGCAATAAACACCATTGTTTTACTGTTATGGTGTCAAACCACATTTTATTATTTTCAAATTGTTCATATATGATTTAACTAATGAATAGACTTCTATGATATAAGTTTTTTTTTAGTTTAACAACTTTATGCCCAATGCTGTATTACACAGCGATCTTATAAAATTAATTATTTTAACTGAAATATAGTTAGTATTGCCATTCTAAATTTCAATGTGCTGTTTTAGTTCATTTTTTCCTATTTAATCAATTACAGATGATTATTGTGTTATATTATTCATAATTTATATACTTTATATATTGTTAATTATATATTTTTTTCCTAAATAACGTTAAACTAAAATAACATAGTTACTGACTTTGAGAACCTGTTATTTTAGAGTAACGTTTTTTTGCAACTTTATACATTAAGTATTGAGTAACTTGATTTTTGAATATTTTAAATTAAAATTATTTAAAGTATGTATATGTATACATTTCATTTTTATTAAGTCCGGAATGATACTATAACAGTCAATTACATTTTTTTTACGATTTTGATGATAAAATTTGAGAAGAGGCTATTGAGCGGGGCAAACGTTGCTAGCCGCAAAAATTTGTGATATCTATGCGGTTTTATTTAATTTAAATGAAAACCTTTTATTAAAAAATAAAAACCTATAAACCTAGCCACCTTTTTAGTTTTATTTATTGGTTCCTCGGTTTACTTTATGTTTATTTAGTAACTTTTTATTATATTTTAATATTGATTTATATCACAACACCACTTACTAACGTCTTATCCTTTCTTGTAAATTTCCAAGCACCTGGTATCAAGTTAGGTGTTTTTCAAGCGTGTGTCTAAATATAGATTTAATTTTTCACTTTTCTTTCAAAATAAAAACATAAATTAAATTATTTTAATGTACTGCCAGAGTTAAAAAAAGGAAAAAAGGCTAAAAATTCGCAGGGTTATCAAAATGGCTACGTTGTTGTGACTGATTTAACGATAATTTACTAATATCGATGTGTTTCTTTAAAAATTCTTTGTTTAAAAATAGAAGTACAGCTTTTACCATCACGCCTTTAGTAACGTCACTTGCAACTTACAATGTAAACAAATAATGGAAGTTTTAATCCGATGCTAATTGTCGTATCGAAATATGTAATAATATACCTCACACATTTCACACACGGCCGTCTGATCCCAAACTAGGCAGAGCCTGTACTATGGTGACCAGACTGCTGATAAACATACTTATATATTTTTAAATACATACATATTATAGATAACTTACACCCAGACACAGAACAAATGATCATGCTCATCACACAATATTTGTCCTGGGTGGGAATCGAACCCACGACCTCCGGCTTAGCAGTCAGGGGCACTAACCACTCGACCAACAGGCCCGTCGATAATAAATAAAATTTTGTTAGACGTAGTTTTGGATGAAAATATTACAATTTGGCATCGTGAAGCTAATCTCATGGTTGAGTCTAGATAGAAGTGAAATGGAATCCCTTTAATTCAGTTCGCTATTAATTATCTGTATTTTTTACTATTGAGTAAAGCTTAATTACATAATTGTTATGAAATAAGCGTGTGGTCACGGAGATCACCACCCCTATTCATGTCGTGGGTGTCGTAAGAGCGGACTAAGAGAGCAAACTACGTGGGACAACAGAATTGCAAAGAGTAGGAAAACTTGACACAAACCCTCTACCAACTCGTCTGGCCAGCGTGGTATTGTAGGCCAAACCCTTATTTCTAAGGAGAGGCCTATCTCTATCAGTGGACTATTAAAGACTGTTGATGTGGCGATGATAAAGCTTCTTTCATTACAATGGAAAGGTATTTTTACATACACACAATCACGTGGTTTATCCACGTAGGGGTAGGCAGAGACGTGTTGAACGCCCACATTTCTCCGATTAGTATTAATCCCATTTACGAACAATTTACTTGCAAGCCTATTCCCGTCGACTGGGCTCTGAATAAAAATATTTCTAAACATATACCTACATAATATAGATTGATAACAACAGAACAAATAAACGTGCTCACACAATATTTTTTCGTGGGTTTGAATCGAACTGACGATCTTTGGCTTTGGCTTACCATTCATGATTACTGACCACTGAGACCAACAGGACAATCTTTGGTATTCATCTAAAAATAATAAATAGCATGAATACGTCAATTTCGATCAGTTTTCAATTTGAATAAGTACCTACTGTTGTCCTCGTGTTATTGCAGCCAAATTAGAAAGTTTTAATTAAAATACGCTGCTTCAGTTCTCGCCCTTGGCACTCTCACTCTCGTGGGTGCGGAGAACATAGAACAATAACACCCTCCGTTTTGTTAAGTAATATTAAACACGCTGTAAATCGAACAAGGAATTTATTTTGCTATATTTCTTATAATTATCATTTTCATCCTGGTACTATAGGCCATTCGTGTTAAGAAAATAGTGACACATCTATCAAGCCCCACACTGACCAATCAGGCTCCAAGCTTTCGTACGAAACGATAATTTCTTGGAACCTGATTGGTCAGCGACGCTTGATAGATGCGTCACTGTTTTACTAACTCTAATCTTTTCTTCTTTAAATATACTATGTATGTAATAATACATAAATATTTTTACCCCATTGGAATTAATATACATTATATTTTGTCGTATACAACGATGCCCCGCTTTTGGTTGTAAATGTTAGTGATGTGCCAATATTATGTACATATTTGTATATAGGTACTAAAAATATATTATATTTCGAGTTGTAAGGGACGTCGTAACGAATACTGAAATAGTATATTCAGACCATCAGTCTGAGTCGAAAGTCATTGGAATTTTCTGCCGGAAAATTCATCAATTTTTTATAGTTTGCCATGTTTTTGGTTAAAAATGATATCACAATGTGTAAACAGAACATTTTACGCATTTTTTTTTAAGAAATACCGCAAACGGGTAAAAATTGCAATGTAAGTAATCAAACAGTCGAAGGCGCGGGACTTTCCGGGTGCCAACTTCTGTTAGTGAGCGTAGACTGTTTGCATGCAATACAACTCGTTTGTACTTTTATGCTTTTATGTTACTTTTATGCGATACTTACGGGGAATAACCTTAAACTGACAGCTGATTGCATAAAACGTTTAATTTTCTGACAAAAATTCCAATTATTCTCGACTCGGAATGATGGTCTGAACACACTATTTCAGTATTCGTTACGAACGTTCCTTCCACCCTGTATATAAAGTGTTACAGTAAAGTACGAAGGGCTTGTTTGGTATTTGTTATGTGAATCCGAAAAAATATTATTATTCCATTAAACACACACCCTGCTAAAACCTAATAATCTGCCAAATGAATACGATTACGTCACTAGCCGATAAACTTATGCCTACAGTAGTTACGTTGACAGATGTCTCCTACTGACGTCTGTCAACTTGTTCATCGATCAATGACGTTTTAGGACTGGTTGATGTTTACAGTCACTTGATTATAGTTAGCTTTTTTGATTGTGTAGAAATGTGATTTTAGGTTTAATACTTATTAAGGCATTACAATTATGAACGTACATACGTACGTACTGTACGTCATTTACGAGATCTTTAATGCGATTCTTACCTATGTTTCGTAACACTTATCTACGTGTATGAGTTTATTGGATAACAAAAAAAAAATGGATTTTATTTCCCTTCTAATAAATTCAGTTAACTACAGTTGTAAATTAGTGGCGTAGTTTGTATTGAAAATATTTTTTATATTTATTCTATTAAATACAGAATTAATTTAGGTTCAATAGATAATTTAAATAAATTAGCTATCCTATTTTTGTGTGTCGTCGGTATTTGAATAATTTGTAAAAGCCTCTTTTGTTAATGAATTCTGAAGCCCATTAATAGACCTTTTTTTTTCCGTGCGGTAATCCCCTCGGATACCACGTCTCTGACGCAGTTGTTGTTCGGAGGGTTGTATGAGCCGAAGGCTATTAACGAACCGAAGGCAAGGCCAAAAGAGTAAAATACTTGAGTTGCTGCATCGAGCCAAACCGTTGGGTCGAGGAGTTTCTCCAGCTGCAAAAAAATGAATGACTTAAATTGGAGGAGCATAACCATGAGGTGCTTCTTTTTTCTCCGTCTAGGGCAAAACTACTGTAAGCTGGGTACGCCCATAAAACGGACATATAAGTAGGATTAAAAAATACTGAAAAATAGTAGTAGTAGCGAGTCTGTGGATCGAATCATTTTTTTTTAATATTATGAAGCCCGAAGTCCTTTTTTTTTTTTTTTTTTTTTTCCGTGCGGAAATCCCCTCGGATACCACCTGTCGGACTCGAACCGACTAAAACCGCACGCCGTCTCGGGTACTAATAGCCGGGGAACCAGGTATACCCTTGAAAGGAAGTCCCTGGTGCCCCGACATACCTCGGGCCATCTACAACAAGTAGACGACCCCCCCCCCCCCCACCCCCTTGT